AACTGTGAAGAGGGCAGTGTTATTTCCGTTTTTAATTCTTTCTTGGGCAGGTGTGCTTCCACAGAAGGGACGTCGGTTTCTGCCTCTGGGACACCTGTCCCTTTGGGCAGCGAAATTCCAAATTTGGGCATATGGAACTTGGGCATTTGGAATTTCATATCCCCACTTTCCAGACTGACATCGGGGCCCTGTACCGAAAGCTTTCCGGATGCTGGCTCTACGGCTATGTCGGGAGCTTTCAGTTCCAGGCTGGCCGAGTCTGTTGGAATCTTTACTTCAGGTGCAGATATGGTAATATCTCCTCCTTTCACCTGAGGTTTCTCAACATGGAGCTCAGCTTCCGGAAGAGAAAGGTCCACTTTAGGCATACTGACATCCACATCGACTTTATGGCCCTTGATGTCTGGTTTGGAGAATCCCATGCTGGGCCTCTTGAACTTTGGCATGTGTATCTTCAGTCCTCCCCCGTCGATGGTGCCTTCAGTCTCTGGCAATTTTACAGCCTGTGCACCATCAGACACCTCAGCTTTTACTTTGGGAAGGGCAACTTCAGCTTCAACCTTCAGCAGGGAGAGCCCAACTTCTGGCCCTTTGACCTTGGGGACCTTGACGCTAGGCGTCTTTGCTTTAGGAGTTTTGATTTTGCCCTTATCTCCAATCTCTACGTCCAAGCTAGGTGCATCTACCTCCACTTCTGGCACCTTAAGATCAGCTTCAAACTGTGCACAGGGCAGTGTTATTTCCATTTTTAATTCTTTCTTGGGCAAGTGTGCTTCCACAGAAGGGACGTCAGTTTCTGCCTCTGGGACACCTTTCCCTTTGGGCAGCGAAATTCCAAATTTGGGCATATGGAACTTGGGCATTTGGAACTTCCTATCTCCGCTTTCCAGCTTGACATCGGGGCCCTGCACAGAAACCTTTCCAGATGGAGGCTCTATGGCTACGTCGGGAGCTTTCAGTTTCAGGCTGGCAGAGTCTGTTGGAATCTTTACTTCAGGAGATGATATGATAATATCTCCTCCCTTCACTTCAGGTTTCTCAACCCGGATCTCAGCTTCGGGAAGAGAAATGTCCACTTTAGGCATACTGACATCCACATCGACTTTGGGGCCCTTGATGTCTGGTTTGGAGAATCCCATGCTGGGCATCTTGAACTTTGGCATATGTATCTTCAGTCCTCCCCTGTCGATGGTGCCTTCAGCCTCTGGCAATTTTACAGCCTCTGCACCATCAGACACTTCAGCTTTTACTTTGGGAACAGTGACATCACCCTCAACCTTCGGCAGGGAGATCCCTACTTCTGGTCCTTTGACCTTGGGGACTTTGACGCTAGGCATCTTTGCTTTAGGAGTTTTCATTTTGTCCTTATCTCCAATCTCCACATCCATGCTGGGTGCATCTACCTCCACTTTGGGCAGCTTAAGATCAGCTTCAAGCTGCATGGAGGGCAATGTTATTTCCGTTTTCAATTCTGTCTTGGGTAAGTCTGCTTCCACAGAAAGGATGCCGATTTCTGCCTCTGGGACACCTGTCCCTTTGGGCAGCGAAATTCCAAATTTGGGCATATGGAACTTGGGCATTTGGAATTTCATATCCCCACTTTCCAGACTGACATCGGGGCCCTGTACAGAAACCTTTCCGGATGCTGGCTCTACGGCTATGTCGGGAGCTTTCAGTTCCAGGCTGGCTGAGCCTGTTGGAATCTTTACTTCAGGTGGAGATATGGTAATATCTCCTCCTTTCACCTCAGGTTTCTCAACATGGAGCTCAGCTTCCGGAAGAGAAAGGTTCACTTTAGGCATACTGACATCCACATCGACTTTAGGGCCCTTGATGTCTGGTTTGGAGAATCCCATGCTGGGCATCTTGAACTTTGGCATGTGTATCTTCAGTCCTCCCCCGTCGATGGTGCCTTCAGTCTCTGGCAATTTTACAGCCACTGCACCATCAGACACCTCAGCTTTTACTTTATGAAGGGCAACTTCAGCTTCAACCTTTGGCAGGGAGAACCCAACTTCTGGCCCTTTGACCTTGGGGACCTTGACGCTAGGCGTCTTTGCTTTAGGGGTTTTGATTTTGCCCTTATCTCCAATCTCTACGTCCAAGCTAGGTGCATCTACCTCCCCTTCTGGCAGCTTAAGATCAGCTTCAAACTGTGCAGAGGGCAGTGTTATTTCCATTTTTAATTCTTTCTTGGGCAAGTGCGCTTCCACAGAAGGGACGTCGGTTTCTGCCGCTGGGACATCTTTCCCTTTGGGCAGCGAAATTCCAAATTTGGGCATATGGAACTTGGGCATTTGGAACTTCCTATCTCCACTTTCCAGCTTGACATC